CGCAAATCCCTTTGAGCAGCCTAGAGTAATTAAGCTCTTATTAAAGAAGTATTGATGATCTAGAAAACTATTTATATCGAAATAAAATATATTACTTTAATAGTTAGTGGATTAATGTTTCTGACAGTATGCTTCGCATTTCCTGCTTCGTTCTGAGGTGATCTGACGCGGGATATTTTGGTCTGCTACCGACGGATATATTCCTCAGTATTTACTTTATAAAAACACTTTATTTCAAAGAAATTTGATGATGGATTTAGCCGATAGTGGTAGATGTTTATGAATTTATAACTGCCTATAGATTAGTGAAGTTAAAAAACAACTTCGGCTGTTGCCAACCATGAAGCATTAAAAATAAAATAATTGGTCAAATTTAGTCTGAAAATACAAATCTAGAGTGTCTTAGTGCTCTCTCCTTAGCGGCTCTCCTTTTAATACAAACTGAGGCTTACTGAAAATTTAGATTTTGTCCTTTCTTTCTAACCTCGAAAGCCCATTTGTGCAAGTTCAAGGCAAAACATGTCACTTGGTCTATAAACGTTTGTAATTTTTTTAATATTTGTGCCCAACCAACCTTAACTTATGCATTTAAAGCGCCCCTTTATGCTATTACTCATTATGATTATCCCATTTACCTTCACTCCTTCTTAAAATACTTATTGCCATAATGTTCCTCAAGATGCTTTACCTGCATTATTGTGTTTACAGCCAAGTTGTTCACTACTCTGACTCTTTCGCAGCCGATACACTTGAGGCGTAATTTTCGGCCTACAATTGACCCAACATGAAGCCGCCTTCGTCTCCGTCTCCGTCTCCAAGTTTTCTCTCTGCTGGTCTCCCACTTCTGAGGCGCTGCTGTTCGGCAAGCACAAGAGTTTAGAAGACCTCCTCTTATCCAGTGCCTGGGCAACCCAAATTCTAGCCGGTCTGAGCGATGCATGAATCGACATGGCTACTGGCTGCTGAAACGCTATTTGTCTATCATCGTACGGTGTTCTGCTGTCTCGAGAGGGGCCAGAATGAACAATTAGGTGGGGCAGAATGGAATTGTAGGAGGCTGAATTTGAAGATGGTGGTGAGCAGGAGTTTGAGGTGAGTGTGCTCTTCTTTGA